ATCTGAACTTTTTTGAACCTCACATTCAGAATTGCAATTTTATAATAAATATGGTTGTGAGCTATGTGCAATCAATCAGTCATTGCATCTTCCTGATTGCTTTATTCTTGTGGTGAAATTTCTTTGATCAAGTATGGATTTGCATTATTTTTGGCATAAATTTGATGATTTGTTTCATATTATCGATCTACATAAATGAGATTCAAAAATATTCACGCACTCCTCACGTTCTAAAATATCAAATATTTTAGTCGATGAATCTAATTGAGCAACTGTAAACATGATCTCAGCAATATTTAAGCGTTATATTTGATTCCAAATATCAACTTGTGATGGCAGACTGAATGCAATTTGTTGGGATTAATGGAAGAAAAAATTCAAAACATTGTTCTAAGCAGCAGTAAATGTCAATACTTGAAGTTTTTGCATGCCACAAACAGGCAGTCTTTTCGTTAAGGACAACGGTAGATCTACGTCATTCAAGAATTGATATAATAAAACTAAACGTTAATTTTTGCAAAAAATCTTTGAACATATCCAATTTGAAAGTGATGGCGCGTGTATATTTCATATTTTATTACGCAGATCTGATTTTTTTAGAACTTGATAAAATGCATGAAAAAGTACTCATAATGTGTTAATATGTCATCGTTAGCGATTGTCATTCGGATGACCATCTGGAGATGCTCTGATTATACTTGAACTCTATGCAGCATTTGTGGACCATCTGACCATCTCACATGAATGACATATACTTTCATCAAAAGTACTGTTTCATGGTGTACTCTGCAAGGCTGCTTGCAAGCTCTTTTTTTACATGTTTCTTTGCAGTCAATGCCATTTATAAATTTGTGAATTTTAATTTATACAAAAAAAAATCAGTTAATTAGCTACAAATATCTTTTTCGATGCTACAAAAATGTATGTGTCATTTTTTTGCTCAAAAAAATCGTTATTGAAAGAATTCATTTCCACAACAATGAATATTTGTCATACATCCATTCATTTGCAAGATTGTACAGGTGAGGGTATTATAATTAAAACTAACTGCGAAGTTTTCCAGGTAGCTCTCATATTAAAATACATTGCAAGTGATAAGCAGTATTTGCAAGAAAAGTTGGTCAGTTCAGTTTTGTAAAAGATTGCATATTCGACTAGGACTATCAGTCACTGATAGCTAATCACAATCTACTGTTAATAAGATTATGTGCTAAATAGCTCTTGCTATCAATTTACATAATGAGCAATCAAAAGCTGATAACAGTATGCTTTGGAGTATGACACATAAATGAGTGAACTGCATATTGTATTTTATATAATTTTATTGTATGCAAAAAGTTTATGCATAAGCATAATAAGAAATATAAAATTCAAGTAAATTCGGCCCCTGAAAATCTCAAATCTAAAAAGCATTACGCTTAATGATGAGTAAATGACCGTTTATATTTTACCTAAAAATATATACATTTTTTCTCGCATAGTCTGTACAATGGCAATATTCAATGAGCGAAATAATATGCACATTAATTATATCAATCAGCCTTCAAAATTGGTTAACTTCTTGTATAGATATTCAGCTGTTCTAATGCTGGCACATTGTCTGTCAGCTTTACTGCCGAGAAATTCTGTCTTCTAAAATTTGAAATTTAATTGCTTGTTCGTTTTCACATAAAATTTTTCTGCACTTCTTATTAATGTTGGAGTTCACCACCTCCTATAGCTATTCATTCCAATTTAATGATTAATTATATTACTAAATCCTCAATACTGATGTTTTCTTACAACATCAGCTTAGTTTTATTGCCATCTACAATTCTTGCGATTCTTTTCAGGCTCACAGTGATTATTAATGAGATATTGATTTGTCAAATTAAAAATGATCTCTTTACTGCTATTTTTTGTGACAAAATTTGCATTCTGTCGTTTTTGATCTAAAGCATAGTCTAGTGATGTCTATCTTTTATCAGTACCTTATTGTACCTTATCGCGCTATGCCGCATCGCATTGTTCATTCATATTATGATCCTTGCTACTGTAATGTTATTTCACTTCATAAATGTAATTTTGTTACAGCAGAACGCCATGGAAGCTATCGTCATTTTACGTACAATCATATTTCCTACGACTGAGTCGTTGATTTGGTTTCTGTTGTGAGCTAAAGTTTATTTCGGTTCGCTTGCACTAAATGCCTCTTAATTTAAATTCATCTTCAATGACAAAGTGAGCTTTAAACAGTAACGAATGACACAAGACTAATCAGTGCTTGCGCGTAAGGTTTTATGAGAATATACAAACATACAAAATTACTGAAACTGAAAAATTTGAAAATTTCACTTATCTACATTTGTATTTTCTTAAATAACGCTCAAGCACACAACCTAATTTACAAATAAAATATCTAAGCTGACATTTTTGAATTCCTACGTTTTTTTTTTCGGACAAATTATTAAAGACTGTATATTATATTTCTAAGGTCGCGCTAAACAAAATACATTTTTGGAGTATCTTCATTAATCATAAACGATTTTTCCACAGAACTGACACCAGCTTTTTGACTTACATCTATTCGTCTGAAAAAATAAAATTATTCCATTAAAAAAGAGAATAGTGACGGGAACCCAGTCCCGTGACAATAAAGAATAATGTACCTTTTATTATAAAAAAGGTGGTAAAGAAAAACAAGTTTTATTAAATTTGCTACATTCAAGCAAAAGTTTTTCAAAATTCAATGCTAAATAACGAAAAGATAATTAAAAATTTATACAGAAAAATTTTAATACATTCGGACTAGTGGGAAGTTGATATAAAATGCAGTCATTCATTAAGAAATAAAAGATTGTTTGGGAGCGAACTCACGCGTATTTTAGTATACGTCTGGCTCGATCACACGCCAAATGGGCATAATAAACGGGAGCTGGTATTGACACTGACTTGTTGCAACGAGCGTACACATGGCAAAGTGCATAAATCATTTGCTGGAATGTGCATGAAAATTATGAAGCAGCACTGGAATGAAAGCAAATTTAAGTATAAGCTTTTAAAAATAATTTTACTTCTGAAATAAACTAACCGAGATGGATTGACGATTACAATAAAAATAACAATAAATTATGAAACAAAAACTTACTTGCCATTCGTCGGCCGACAGTAGCCATGAATCATACAGCACAATGTAGTGTGAAGGCCTTGATGTTCCCTGAAAAGTTCAGTAATCTGCATAGTTCCGTAAGTACCATGATAAACATTAAATGAACCTTTGTAACTCTTCATGGAATATTAACGTACTATTAGAATTTAAAGGTTTACATTTAAGACTGATATGACAATATTATTAGAATGTCTAGTTAAAAATTTTGCAAAGGAGAAGCACTATCTAAGTTTGAATTTCATTGAGTACAAACAAAAATAAAGTTTTGAAGTTCTTGGAGAAACTAAAATATCTTTTGATCAAATAAAAAAAGAAAAAAATAGCTAATGATAAATAACATACAATAGCTCCTTGATGTGAACAAAGATAAAAATCAAAATGCGATGGGCTCGTTATAGTTGAGTCCACAACTGTCCCTGGTGGTATATTTCTATCGGTTCTAAACTAGATGAACGCTCACTGGGATTGAAAGTGGGAAAAAATTGAAATTGTTCAAAAACAAAACAGCACCAGACCAACTATGCCTATTATTACAGGTACTTTTTTTGATTAAAACATGAAACTCAAGAATATCATAGGCCTGGACAATACGATCCAAAAATAATGAAATCAAAAAAGAACATACATTAGCATCTCTCAAAAAATCATATTATTTTAATATTGTCATTTATGATTCAATATATCATCATTGTATCATAAATAAATAATAGTATGTTCTCCCACCTGGGTGCTGCATCAACTATCGCTTCAATTAAACGGGTATGATGACGCTTTTGTATTACAACATAGGATACAGTTGGATTATACATTTTATCCAGTTGATTTATAGCTGCTTTTAGACAAAATAATTCTTCATTCGAAACATCAAAAAATTGGGAATCAGAAACACCATCGCTAAACAAAAATTATAAAAAGATAGTTACAATTATGCTACTCGAAAGTAAATTTTTGATCATTCAATTACTGTATCAAATTTTAAAAAAAATTATTAAACAGATATACAGTGACTTTTATACTAGTAACGATTTTTGAAATAATTTTTCAAGTAACGTTGGAGAGTAAGTTACTTTGCGGAGCTTCCCCATTTTAATAAACAACTTACCGAAATATTACAATATGCTCCGGTTTAGAACCTGTTTGTACGTTAAAATCTATGATACGTGCTTGCAATGCATCTACTATATAAAGTCCCACTTCTTGTTTTGAATGTTGAATTTTTATAGTTGCCGCATATCTAAAAAACAAAAGTATATGAATTACATAAACTAAACAGTAAAAGAAAATTTATCTTCCACATAACTTAAATGCTGTTACTGGCAGACATGATGACTCATATTGTATTATTACATGTCTGTTCTAACTATCCAACTATATAACTATTCCTTGTTCACATTTTTGATAATATTTTATAACTCAAAACAAAATGTCGATCACGAAAAATGATATATAACAATTAAGCAGTGAACCTTGTTGCGTCTACATTCAATGACCCAACGATAGCAGCAACTGAGGGAAAAGAATGCTCGTCATATAATGGATGTGTTACATCAATTCCAATAAACAATGTTGATTCTTTTGCATCACTGAATTTTTTCCAGCTAAACAAATCTTTTAATGTTTCCAACCAGAATTCATTTACAGATTCTATCTTCTTTACTACTAATGTTTACTATCACTTTATGTAATAATAAACTCTCTTCATACTCAGAGTTAAAATATTACGGCAGTTCAAGACCAACGAAACAAATTTCTAAAAATAAATATGCTATGTAAACTAACTATCTGTCAGTAGTTGTCAAAACCAATTATATTTTGAGGGGCTAAAAATTTACCGTGATTAAATTTGATGTAAGGATGTGTAAAAGTTATCAAGTTTTGACTATTTTTCTGTCAAAATTTGATAACTTTTACACATCCTTACATTAAATTTAATCAAGGTAAATTTTTAGCCCCTCAAAATATAATTGGTTTTCCCCTAAAAATCTACTAAAGTCGGCTTTAGAATAATAAAAATGCATCCTAACTACTTCAACACTTCAAAATCAAAACAAATGGAGTACAGAATACTCACTATTCCTGGTTCTTCGAAATCTCGTTATTGATCCCTCCCAATTTAACGTTTATTTTCAGACAAATATTGTGAGCTACTGAATTCCTCCCCGAATCTCCTCCCATTTTCAAAAAGGTCTTAGCGAGAATCACTTGGCACGCAATTCCTTCTTCTTTGTCACATGCCACTTTTATTCGTCCTATTAAATTTTCATTGTATCACTATAAAACAACATTTTAATTATATTCTTTATCAGGTGAAAAATAAAGTACCATATGTGTCGTCCTCTTTTTCTGGGACAATAAAAATAACCAGCGGCTTTAGCACAATATTTTTTAATTTAAAACAGAGGCTTTTAAACTTTTGAATATATTCGTCAACTTCCTCTTGTTTAGTATTCCAGCAATAAACATCTACGTTGTCTGGTCCCAAATCTTTTCTTGCAAACTGCATGCCAAAGCGCTTGCAGGTAAGAAGTAAAGTTTTGAAAGGATCTCTGTAAACTTGAGCACTGGTGAGGCACGCATTACATAAAGCAAAATACATGAAAAACAAGGACTGAAAATTGGTATCTAAGCTCTGAACAAAACATGAAAGGCATACTTGAAAGTATTATAAGTGACAGCTTGATTGACAATAACAACAGCTACATGAATACCTGCAGCAGTTTCTAAAAATTCCCCTTGTAAAGGCCAACTTCCATTTTTCGCTTGCAGTTCCCTTTGCTGTAATTTTTCAGCATTAATTGCTGCAGGTTCTGTAAACTTCAACCACAACAACTATATCTGACCTTGAAAATGTCTAAACTTATTTCAGAGAAACGTAAATACACAATTATCGAGCAAAAAAAGCCTGCAGTCAGATTTTAAAGATAAACTTGGAGAAAAACTATAAATATCAAAAATTTCAAAGAATGTTACAAATAAATTTTACAATAAGAAAACAAGGAAAACACACTCTAAATTTTAGAACAGGAGATGGCAAAACACGACCAGGAATCAGGATCGATTCCTGATATCCAGCGCTGTTTGTAGGGAAAACAATACCAAACTGCTGAATGAATTCATCTTCGGAAGACATTCTCATTCCTTTGAGAATCCAATCAATTTTCTTGAACCTTTCAAGAGGGCTCACTGCCGTTCCCTTTAACATTCCGAAATAAATCTCAATTCAGAATTAGCCTGATTTTAATCATTTAATCACTTTAGCAACCGTTAAAATTAAAAGCTTAGTGGTTGAATGACCATTTCGATTTCTGTCACATAATTGAGCAGCACTATAACCACCATAATGTGTCAATCAATAACCGTTTTTTAAACAGTCTTTCCGTTCAGGCTACAAACCAACAATTAATCACTGAGTAAGCAATTATTTTCTTAAGAATTTATAAAAATTTTCTGCACTTACTCAATAAACCTCTTTATCGCACAATCATGGGAGACTTTCATTCATCCAACCGAAGAAAACTCGAGTTGGTCAAATTGTGCACAAACCTTGATCAATTTAGCGATTTGAAACGGAGTTAAACGTCTTTTAACACGTTGCACTTTATCAGACAATCGCAAAAGCTCCATTGGAAAGCAATTCTTCATCGTTACTTTGCCGCAATATAATACTGGCAGATTCGGAAAGTTCAAGATTATATCTAAAATGACAAAACAAGAATTTCAGAAAAAAAAACAGGTTTTGAAAAAGCACAGAATTATTCACAAAACGTAACAATTTTTAACATAATATTTTTTTTTTTGAAAAGCAAATTACTTTTATATCGCCTAAAATAATCCTCAACTGTAACTTGTCCCAAAGACTCTTCACCCCGTTTCAACTCAAATCTGAAAACGAATCCATTACAAATTGCAAACTGCAAGAGTAAAACAGCATAACGTCAACAGTAAACTGACCGCTGTATTCGCGCAGGCTGTCCGACGTCTAGAAATTTGACATGTCGGTCATCATATGTTAATTTCAAAGTTAATCCTGAAAATATATTGAATATAAAAAGCAAAATTCAACTAACATTTTTTGTAATAGAAATTCGTTTTAGACTACTAGATAAAAGAATCTTTGTAGAAGAATGAAAATGTCTCGAGTGATTTGAAAGACCTCAAAAAAATTTCAAACAAAAAATATTCATAGTAATAACGAAAAAATGAAACTGACCCATTAATGCATTCTTTAATTGCTGCCTTTGATGAGCAGACATTGCGAATGTTCCCCCAATAGAACTAACTTTGTATGAATCTCTACGGCCAGAAAATTCATTTAAAACTGCTAGATAAAAATCAATCAGCGGCATATCAACTTTGTAAAATACTTTTGTAGACACTGAAATAAGACATACGGATTAGTAAGATGGCTTGGAAAAACAAAGAAACACTTTAATCTGAAAAGTATTCACAAGTATTTGACCGAAGTTAGAGCAGTTCCTTAATAAGATTTAATATGTCAATCATGTTTGATGCTTTATAAAATCAACATAATTTCCCACCATCGACATTGAGTAGCAATCCTTTCTCACAACGTTTGACAGCGCCATACAGCCCAGTCCATGCTTCCATTCCTGGACCTACATCCAAAATATTCCATGGTATGCCTTCATAAGGCTTTAGAAACATGTACTGTTGGAATGAATGAAAACTCGATGCAATATTCCTGAATATATAGAATGCATAAAATATTTATTTTCAGTTTATACAAAAACACATTTTTTATCACACTTTAGCAAGGAAAAATACAGCTGTAAGAGAAAAGAATAAACGGAGCTAATCAAAAATTAGGCTTTTTATCAAGTGTTACATAAAGATTAAAATTAATTAATCAAAATTCCACTCACATGTACGGACAACGCACTCGTTGGGTGACCAAGCAATCTAAAAATTGCATGCTCATTCGGAAGTTCGGTGAGCGCTCGTCAGCAGTAAGAGTGAAACAGTTTGTCTGCACTACTTCAAGTGTGAAGGATATTGGCACTGACTGGAATACAACAGATTTCAATATAATAATTCAAAAATCGAATGCGTAGTAAAATGACGAAACTAATAGCAGAATTCGACATTGAGATTAGGATGCAATATCTTTATAAGCCATCTTTTATATTTTAATCAGCAAGCAAAAGACACAAAAAATATTCCAATTTATTAATATGTAAAAATCAGAAATTAATATCACAAAACCTACCTTTGATTTTGCTATTAACTTCAACTCCACTGCTTCACTGTTAATGTTTAATCTGTTACCAGAAAATAATACATGGGAATCATCATATACCAAAGAGTACCCGTTGCCGAATACTTCTTTATTTTTTGTAACCACGTCCCAAAATATTTTGCTACAAACTTCTCTGAAAAAGATTTTTTTTAAATGCTTTATAACTGTGCAATGTAGAAAATGAATGCAATGCAAAAACTTCAAATTTAGAAGTACCTGTCTTTTATCGACCGTTGATCTTGTCCTATAGTTTTCCAAACATTTATATGATAACAATATAATTGCAATGAAGCGGGTATATTCAAGATTTTGAAATTGGCCTTTAGGTTAATAGGCACACCAATTTTTCCATGGCCTGGTCGAGGAATCAAGTCTGAGATTTCCTTAAATTGCAGGTTACCCGCAGATAGTTTCAAACTAATAATAGAGTTAAAATATTATTAATATTATTTATTATTTGATTCCATATGTTCAATGAAATACAATGCTCACTCAAAAAAAATTTTTTTAAATTCTTATACTCATTACTGTATCCTTTCAAAAAACTAGAGAAGGAAATTTATTAAATTATGACGAAGAAAACGATAAAAAACCTTGCTCGATTTTTCTTTAACTTTTCGGGAATGACCAGAGGCCGGAAATCCACGACTTTTCGCTACAATTAAGAATAATCAATTTAAATCATAATTTTAGCAAACAAAAATATGTGAAAGCAATGATTATATGCCTTCGCCATTTCCAAAATTATTTTTACATTTAGTTAATATTCAGGTCTACTAGAAACTCTGAATTTGAAATAATGTTACTAAAAAAGTAATAACAATTAGCAGAATCATATGTTACAGCAAAAATTTTTTGTTGTTACTTTCAAAAAAACGTCCATGAAATATTATTACACTAATTCCATCGTTAAAAAGGATGAGTTACTGTTCGAAAAATGCTTAGCAAAAAATAAAAAACGTAATAATATTTAAACGTAGTAACGTTTTTACTGGTATAATTTGACAAAAGCTATTCACGGGAATTTGTCATAACTGGTCTAACATGTGAAAATAACCGATTTAAATGCAAGTAAAAATCTTTAATAAAACGTAATGTTTCTTCGATTAAAATTAATATTTCTAACCCTTAAAACCGCTTGGTCCTTGTTCTGATGTACTTCTGCCTGAACTTTCCCCTCTTCCACCAATCATTCTTATATTTTACTCTGAAAATGATTTCAAATTAGGTATTAAAGTATGAAACATAGTAATATAAGTTAAATCGGCAATGATACATTTATTCATGAATAGCATAATATTGCTGCAGTGGAATATCAATAACAGTACTGGAATAATTAAGAGTTGAAACAGGCAAACAATTAACTTAACTAAAATGGCTCAGTACACGAATAATGATAATCAGTAATAACTGTAACGGATTTATATCGAAGTTTCCATGCGTAATAATTAGTAGTGAGGGAAATAATTCTTGAACGAAAACTTTCAAAATGATAATAACTTTGCTCTCCGAAAAAGATAAATCCTAGTGATTATAATGGAAACCATATTTTAAACAATTAAAAATCAATTTACGCCATAATCCGATCTATATCATCCACTGAGATATGCAAGAACAGTCAATGCACAGTGCACTAATTCGTCAGCTGTACAACGAGTTGATATTGTGTAAACACTTTTGCTACTCCCTTTAGTGAGTTCATACCCTTCATGCCACATGATATCTCATCAAAATCAATAAGTTGTACATCATACTTGCCAAACGTGTTATTTCGAGAACTGCCAACAGCTTCATTGATATCTGAATCTGATGAATTATGAACATTGTTTAGTAGTTTTCAATAATGAAAAGAGATTAATCAATAAGAAGGACACTTCATCTTGTTGTGCGGATTGATTTGTTGGACTTATGGATTACATTCTCCTCATGCGTTTATGATTAATTGAAGCTAAAAAATGATATAATTACTGCAAAATATGTTATTTGAGCACATCAGATCAATACCTCAGAACAGTAATTCTTTGCAGTCACCTCTTGATTTGTACTCTGAATCATTCTTTCTCTGCGAAAACTCACAAATTCAAAGATAAAGTAAGGCAATAAAAACCTAATATATAAATTGATGCCGTAAAATGTATATTTCAAATTTTTCAAAAGTGGGAGTTAAAAATCAAATGTTCGTTACATTTTGGCGCGAGAAATATTCAGTAATTGCAGTGAGATGCCAATTTGTTCTAGGAGGTCAGATTCAAATATTGACTCGTTCCGAGCAAGATCCAGTGGAACAGTTTGTTCTGCTGATTCTGAACTCTAAAAAGATGTATGAAGGCTGGTGCTGAGATGAATCAGAAATGCTAAAGCAAAAATTAGTAAAGAATTTAGTTCAATTACTTTGGACTTTGTTTCTGTTGACATCTTTATTTTGCAAGTAAATTTTATTTAAATGCTTACAAAGTTAAGGAAGGTAAGAAAATAAACAATTTTAGTGGAGAAATGGTACCTGAACAGATGTCTAGAATAAAGTTTGTTAATTTTAAGGGATGCAAATTTATGTATAAAAGTCAAATAACTTATTTTGTTACTCATTGCTTTTACTCGAAGAATCTAGCGCGGTTCTATTCATCTTACTGTGTTACCAAAATGGCGGCTAAGGAATTTGAGGATACCTGGGCATACAATACAATCGGTTCGCCCTTTCCTGATAACCCTGTAAGGGTTAAGGGTCAGCAAAATATGTATGTGGCACTATGGTACAAATTTGGTAAACCAATACATGGGCGAGCATGGAACAACAACGGGAATGTTGAATGCTCCTTTCCTTACAGTAAAGTCTGTATATTTTTTAATTTTTAAGTGGAAAAGCAAACATATCATCATTTTTTTTTGTAATCATATTTCTTGACTGCTTAAATATTCGAAGTTAAAGTGAAATGCTCACATGTGACTTGGTTAATTAATTTTGGTTTTCAAGTAACTTTAATTTTGCACCTAATTGCTGGATAAATTTGAGAGACAGTCATTACGAATTATGATTGTGAATAATCTAAACAAACATATGTTTTCAAACTTTGAAAGATTAATGCTATAATTTAGGTAGGTTTAATATTTCAAGAAAATAAATTCAGGTAGAACTAACCGGAGCTCGTGATCTAGGAGGTCAGATTCAAATATTGACTTGTTCCGAGCAAGATCCAGTGGAACAGTTTAAAAAGGCTGGATTCTGGTATGAGTGGCGTCCTTATAAAGACCGAGAAAATGATAGATTGCTACAACTGGTTCATTGTGGTGAGTCGGCCCCGATGCTGATGAGAGCTAAAGATGGTAAAACTTTACTTGGATACGTGGATTTAGGCAAAGAGGTTGCCAATGTTGGTTACAAAGGCAAAAATGAAACTTTGTCTGGTGGTGATATTCAGGTAACTCAATTTTTGTATGTACTCAAATTTGTCATCATTACATTATACAAATTATTGTTAGGAAGTTCTGATCATTACAGGGTGCAATTTTTTGCAACAGTTGCATAATAAATGTGTTGTAGGAAAGATTGAAAGTACTGAGTACAGATATCCAATTTTAGTAGGTGTATAAAACTATTCATTATAGTTGTGTCTTCAGTGTAATGTAGTAAGCAAAGTTTGACTCCAAAAACTATCATTTTTGTAGAAACCAAATACTGTCTTAGCTATTCTCTAGATTTGAGAAAACTTATGATCATCATACTTTTATATCATTGCCCTCATGAAACTAACATATTGTAGAACCTATTAGTACTGTTTCGGAATATCAAAGCTCCACCTTATATAAGGATTTATGATGATACTTGGCTTGATCTGAAATATCGCGACACATTTCCGACATCAAAGAATCCTATTGCTGTAAGTTAATCATTTTCTTTGGTTTTTGTAATCATTTATTATAGTTTTTGGTGATTTAGGGTGCTGGTCGAAAATTGAAAAATGATGATGGAACTGAATCGTTTAGCTACGTAGCATTGTGGTATAAACATGGTGAACCAGTTTTCGGACGAGCTTATCCAGATTCAGCCGGTAAAACATTGGCTAGTTTTGGTTGGAATGGCCAAGAAAATGCTGGCGCAGAAATCGGCTCTATGCAAATGATTGTTGTGCCACAGCCAGAAAATGTCAGTAATTACTTAGCATTAAGGCTAATTTTAATATTTAAATTAGTAAAAATGAATGATCTCTGACAAATAAATTTTGAGTAAATGACGAAAGTAATCTATTAATTTATTCAGTAATTATGGCATGAATCTGTATTTGAATTTTAACAAAAACACTAAATAACTGTTGATTTTTTAAAACTTACAGCTTGGTTTCGAATATAAATGGCTACCATATAAAGAAGTAAAGAGCAAAGCAGGAGCATTCAAACCCGTGCATGTCGGAGAATGTACTCCTTGTATACTGAAGACTAAAAACGGAGGTGAACTACTTGGAAATTTGCATATGCAAATGGAAAAAGCAACAGCTGGATTTGGTGGAAAAGATGCAGCCGTGGTTGGACCAGCCGTAATGGATTTCTTAGTACTGTGCCGTAATGGACTGAAATAAATCGGTAACTGGAGACGATGACTGTGATAATGCAGCAACTTTGATAATATCATCGTTGTAACTCACAAATGCCACAAAATTTTTTTAATAATCTTACTAAATGTACAAAAATAAAATTATAATAACTCCAAAGTGCATGTCGTTATCAATTACTTGCCACCACTGTAATAGTTATTCAATTACCAGTGTAATAATCAGAATCACATCTGCTTCAACTGTTAGGATATTTAGTTTATTTACGATACATGTATTTATTGCGAACAAGATTATTGCGGTATTTCAGTTCACTGATATTAGCTTTGAAGTTGGATACAGAAAGACTAAAAAATGACTAAATTAATTAATAATTAATTAATATGGATATTAGTGAAATAATATGGCATAACCATATTTACTACTTTACTGATTTAGCAATTTATCTCAATAACCTGCGATGTGCACAGTTTGTTTCGATGTGATGTGTAATAATTTTAGCATTTACAATTTGTTTCATCTCAAATCTGCTTAAGATCTGAATTGAAAAGAATGCTGAAGCCAACACCACTATTTCATATAGAGTGAAGATTTGAGAAGCATAAGGCTAAACACATCGTTTATGCCGAGAGAACCTTACTAAATGTACAAAAATAAAATATTAATCATTGTAAAAGTTATTGGTAACTGAAGAATTTAAAAATACTCTGAAAAAAGAGCGTGATGTGGACTGAAATGTGTAATTTAATAAAAGTATAACAGATGGAAATAGTTTTCAAACGTGATTGATTATAAAATTCACGTGATGCTATTAGAGAATAAATTATGCAACAGAAATATCGTAATTAGTAGCAATAAGTATTATTTTATGAAAGCAAGTATTGAGAATGCACAAATATATCTGTTTTAGAATCACTTCAACCATACATTATTCTCAGATAGTATTATGAGATAAGCGGAACTACAATAAATTTCAAGTGATAATTGTGATAGTTAGATTAATAAAATACATTGTGGATCAAAGGTAACAATTTATGTTTCACCGCCATTTTTGTACAAATGTATAAGGCGTTGCAACTCAGCTCGTTGATCAACACCTTGAAAGACATATGGTGCGGAAAATAAAATACCACAGGTACCACCTAGAGTAATACCAAAGAATACGTATAATAACAATCTGTCGATGATCATCGCTACATACTTCCAGTCATCGCGGTACTGCAGTTTATGCATAAAAATTAATGGTAGCAATCACAATAATGTTAACATATCATGCAAGATTTCAGTTATATTTTTATATATTTTGTTCAGCGGTTTTTTTTTAACTTCTAAGCAAGAAAAAAGAGCTAAATCAATTAATAACCATATAAAATCATAATCAGCAAAACAAAATAGTTGCAAAAATTTTTGAAATTGCTAAAATAATTGGATAAACTGAAGTGTAAAAAAATAAATGAGATTTATATTTGTAATAAATGATGAGACCATTTTATATTCTTCATCTTGTTTTAGGTGATTTGTGATGTACTCAATGGCGTCAATGGCACGTAAGGCATCTGAACTAAGCGGATAATAGGCACTTGTTGTAGGATCTCTTTCCAATTGTTGCATTGTGCCAACATGAGTTAATTCGATTGAAGGCGTTTGTCTAAATATAGTCAGTTATTTGTAAATATTAAAATTTAAAAAATTTTTGAAAAGTTTTTCATTACTTGTATATCATATATAGCTACTTTAAAGGCGAAATTATTAAGAGAATTATTTTAGCATTGAGATATGTACTTGCTGTCTATATCAAGAGATGGACAGAGTGGATGATGTATGGATGGATTAAGTTTGAAATCGGTACTACTTCTCGGAGTTACTGCCATCACAGAAGGTCCATTTTTCTCAGACATATTTCTCAGTGATGTCTTCGGTCTTTGCATGCATAGCAATTTAGGCATCATCTAAAATATCATTCATAACTTGCAGTAAAGTAAAATGTAAGTTTTTATTCAAAAATATATTGAAAGCTTTTTGCTTGTTGTGACCATTTTAAGTGAGACAAATTGAATTCATTGCATGAAGTAATTCATTAAAAATTCAGTTATTGTCTCAAGAATTCACAACATTAAATATGAAACTTAATCATTTTTCAGAAAGAGTAATAGTATATAAAAAATAAATAAATAGACTTAAGATTAAAATTTAAAACACAAATTAAAACTGGTTTTATAACTTTTGAAAAATACAAAATTTACACCACTTTGCAGCGTATTTTTTATCTGTGATGGATTAAAAATGTATACAATGTTTACTTACTTGCAAAAAAACAGTTCGAACCCATTTTGGCATTCGATGAGTGGTTGGCCCACGAAAATAAATGTTTATTATAATAACAGTAACAAGTATAGTAATTACGTTGAGCACAAAAGTGAGCAGTAAGTATTTGGCCATTAATGGGATTGTTGATGAGGTCGGTGGCAAAATTTTTGATACAAGTAGTAGAAAAACAACAATTGAAAGTAATACAGATATGGTTAGGGTCATTTTCTCACCTTAAATTTATTTCTTATCATTTTAAGCTCAATTTTTTTTCTTTTAATTAATATAAATGTATGCAAAAGTTATTTTGTACACAGTATTATTATAATAGTACAGGTTTTGTTGTTGAAATTTAAAGTTAATAAACAGAAACAAAATATTGTAGCAGAAATTTATTTTAAAAAGTAAAACAAGTATTTAATTCAAATAAATAGAAGTTATTAATAAGTAAAAGGGAATGACCTGAATCAGTTGGAAGGAAAAAAACTGCCATGCTTAAAAACGCCATTAGTACTGTGGGAATTATTAGTACAACTGTATAAAATAAAGTTTTTCTCCTGCAAAGAAAGAAAATTTAGTAAATTTCGAATCTTTTCAAAAAATAGCAGCAAAATTCTGGTTTAATTATCAAACCTTCAGTGTATTATTAGACATATTTATGAATTAAAATCAATTTATTCTGATATTTAATTTAAGTAAAAAATATTTATTAATATCAATCTCATTTAATTCATAAACACAAGTAGTCTGATAACTTTGTGATAACTCCTAAATCTGTGCAAAATTAATAATATCCAAAATAAATGGTCTTGTATCTATTATAGTAGCACTATTCGGCCTTAATATTAAATATTGAGATACAATATAGCTACAGAAAGTTTCACCTTATTCTAACTTGAAATTCGATTCTTGAACGTTTATTTACCAAAGCGGCTGGTGCATCCATGACATCCCAGATAGAACTTGGAGCATATTCAGACAAATCGACCCATTCTGCTTGCTCGAATTCTAATTTGATCTCATTCTCATTATACTAAAAAAAATTTCACATTTGTCTTCATTTTTATTTATTCTTTTAAGTTTGTATTATTATTATTGTTATTATTATCATTATTACTATTATTTTTATTATTAATATGCCAAAACTAATTATTACAAGCAAAATTTCTTATTAAAAATAACAAATAAATTAGTATGCATTTTTTATTCGCACAATTTGGAAAAATATAAAGATAATTACGGTAATTTAAAAACATATCAATAAAAACTTTTGTAAACAATGAATTTTGATATAAATTTACATTTTTGATGTGTCATAAAAATTAATTTGTATTTTCTTATTTTTTTTTTCGATTTTTTTCTCATAATATTTAATCTAACAAACTTAAATATTAATTAAAAAATACAAAACAATAAAAAAGCATACCGTCCATGACCCGAAGATTAAATGACAAGTTTGTTCATCGAAAGGGAAAAATTCTACGTCAATAATACAAGAACTTTTATAAATTGCTGGTGGCACCCACAGCATATCACCTTTGTAATTAATAACAACATTGCACATAAATGATACTTCATAGTTGCCATCAGCACTGCAAGTAGTCTTACAAAACACAAAAAAATTCATAATTTTTGAAATGATTGTTTGAATGTCAATAAAATTTTTAATATTATTATTGAATTGACCTGAGATATTCAAGCAGATGATTTCAAAAAATTTATAATTTTGACTTGACAACTAATCTATGAGACAATCAATACTGAAAATAAGTATAAGTTTTAAAAATATTTGTTAATGAATGCTGCAGATGGAAGAAGAGATAAGATGCATTTTAGTACAAGTCTTACTTATTGAATAGGACAATATCTGGTAACCAAACTTTGTCTGGCGCAACTCGAATATTTTGAATTTCCCCGTAATCTACTGGATTCCAACGCATTTGAAAATCATGCCATTTCTGAAGTTTCAATTTTTGTAAATTTTAACACAATTTGATGTAATTTGAATTTAAACACTTTCTCTAAGATATAATATATATAATTCTACTTTTAATTACGAATCACCGTAAAATATATGTAGTAACGCTCTTTGAATTTTTATTCTTTTATATGCGTTTATAAGAGAAAAATTAGTGATGATTCTCATTCCAGAGAGTTTATTTTTTGTATCAGAGATGAGAACAAACATCAATTATAAATTTGAAATCAAAATAAATAGTGATAAAAAACTAATATTTAATAATAAGTAGTGAAGTGAGAGTAAGCGAAAAGAAGAAATTTTCAAGAAACTAAAACCAACCAAAGTTAGCCACACATTTGTGTGCATCACTTGATCTTTTTCATCCTGAATCACGAATTAGATTCAAAAGTTACGAAATATTTAATAATCAAAATAATTTAAAATTACTGAAGTAGATTAGTAATAAATGATAACTTTTAGTATGCATAAATGATAGTTTTTAAGAAAATAAAGCAATCATTATGAGATAATTTTTTTGAATTTTCGTCTAATTAAAAGAAATAAAGTAATAGCATGTAAAAACGAACAACGTTGATGAGTAGTACTAATTGCAAAGCTATTTTCACGATTATTGGAGTATCGTTCAGATTTCGAACAGGTTGAATAAGCGAATTGTATCCCTTAAACACATCTACCATCAAACGCTCTTCTTCATCCGAGCACAGCACTACTCCTTTAATCACTTTTTACTTTGTTCTCCTTTTTTGCTCTTGCTTTACAAAAAAGTAGATTTTGAAAAATATATAATAGTTATACTCAGTATAGAATCACTTGAAATTTGTCTGACTAATGATGCTTCATTGTTTGCAATATATAATATA